GCCACCGGGTCCAGGACACGAACCGTGGTCGACTACGTGGGAGTCCAGCGACATAGCCATTACGCTAACTGCTGGTTCCCCAGAGAGCATCTTTAGTAAGGAACAAACAGCAAACTCAACAATCTCAGTGCCTGTGTTAGGCTGAACTGCCTCTAATCCATTTCTTTTTTTTCTTTTTTTTTTTTTAAGAGAGATGTTTTCCTATAGGGCGTGTGCTCGCCAGAGACACACAGAGAGACAGAGAGATAGAATGTGAGAACTCACCTCCCAGGGGAGATGACCATGCTGCAATCCCTTCTCTTCTCAGGATCTTGGACACACATGCACACAAACGTGCCCGGCTGAGTTTTTAAGCCGCTGGGTCCGGGATTCAAACTACAGTTGACTACATGGGAGTTTAGCAATGTAACCATTACAGCATCTGCTTATCCTGACCCTCTAGTCCATTTCAATTGGAGCGCAACCCCTCCCAAAGTAGCAGGGTCAAGGTGCCAGATCTGTGGAGAGAGCCAAGCTGATGAAGGCAAATCTTGGTAATTTCCTGAACCGTGCCAATTTCAAAATATTGGGTCATGGGAAAAGACATGACATGTGTTTTCATATACGTCATGAGTTTTCCAGTGACCAATAGAGAGATGCTCTGGTGATGACATTCTCTACTGCAGCCACTTCGGCTCTGTCACTGCGCAAACACCGAGGACTCAATCCCTGCCCCCTTGTTCCCACTGAGCAGGCAAGGTGAGGCCGATGGAAGTCCTGAGGCTTGCAGGCTACAACACTGGCTCTGGTCTGAGCACTGCCGGCCCCCGGCCTCCGGGAGTCGGTTTTCCACCACAGTCCATAGGATGCATGCAAAGCTCATTTTTTTGATTGGCAGTAAGTCCAGTCTAAAGAAAGAGGGAGAGAAAGTCACCGGGTCCAGTCTAACTATGGTCAGCCATGGGGACTCCAGCGCCTTACCCGTCATGCCAACTGCCGGCCTGACACTGAATCTCTGCAGAGCTGGAGTGGGCCTGGCCAGTCACTCTGGCTGCAAGGAGTCTCAACAGTCATTCCAGTGTGCCTGCTTATCGCAATGTTATAAAACTCTTGTGTGTCACAAGGTGAAAAGGTCAGGAAGCACTGGCTTATAGTCTTGTTTAAAGATGATCTTTCTTTTGAGAGGTTTTGCTATAAGGTGCGTGCACTTGTCAGAAAGACAGAGTGAGGGACCAGCAGTTAGCGTAATGGCTATGTCGCTGGACTCCCACGTAGTCGACCGCAGTTCGCGTCCCGGACCAAGTGGCTTAAAACTCACACAGGGTGCGTGTGCGTGCGTGCCCAAGATCCCGAGAGGAGAATGGAGGAGAAGGGATTGTGGCGTGGCCATACCCTCTGGGGGGTGATTTCTCATTTTCTGTCTCTGTCTGTCTGGGGAGCACATGCACCCTATAGCAAAAAAACCTCTCCAAAAAAAAAAAAAAAAAAAAGCAAGAAATCACCCCCCGGGGGATGGCCATGCCGCATTCTGTTCTCCTCCATTCTCCTCTCGGGATCTTGGGCACGCACGCACATGCGCTCAGTGTGTGTTTAAGACACCGGGTCCAGGACTCAAAGCCCAGTCCACTACATGGGAGTCCAGCGACATAGCCATTACGCTAACTGCTTGTCCCAAGATTATCTTTATTTCTAATATTGCTAATTTCTAAATACAAAAATTTGAGACCCTAATATATCCATGGTTCTTAATGTTTGTTTTTTTTTTAATCATTTATCCCTTTGATAATCTGATAAAGTAAAAGATCTTCTCTCCAGAATAAGGCAACACTGTGCAGTATTTTACATGTAACTTGAGGGTTATAGGATCCGAACTAATTCTGTTCTGGAAGGATTATCAGACAGATTCCCCCCCCCCCCCCCCGCATTTCTTTTTAGGTTTCTGCTATAGGGTGTGTGCACTCGTCAGAGAGGGAAAGTGAGAAATCATCCCCTAGGAGGGGCAGCCACACTGCGATCCCTTCTCCAATTCTCCTCTCAGGATACTGGGTGCGTGCACACACAGGCATCCAGTGTGATTTTTCAAGCCACTGGGTCCAGGGCTGGAACTGCAATCCACCATGTGGGAGTCCAGTGCCTTCACGACCACATCACCTGCTGGTCCCCAGACAAACCTAAATGTACTACTTTAGAGAGGTTCATCTGCTCCTATCTCTAACACGGATTTAAAAAATCAGAGAATTGTCAACAAATCCTCTGAAGAAAGCATTCCATCGAACCCCCTCAAAATGTCCTGGGAGCATGCACAGGCCACTCTACTCCAAGTGGCTCTCTGCGTGGCTCCTGCCAGGCCGGAGGTGGCTTGGTTACTGTTCACGCTAACGCTCATGTGAGCCTTCACCCTGCAGCCTCCCTGCTGCACAGGACCTCGCTCTCATGCGTCCATCACTCCACAGCTGCCACTCATCAGAGGGGAGGGGTGGGGACAAAGGAACACTTACATCAATTAATTTCAGCAGCATCTTTATTGCAACAAAGAACCTGTAATAAAATGCGACAAAACTAATGTTTCACTTTACATGATTAAAAGCCATGTAGCTGAAAATGAGAGACCCATAAACTTACTGGAGTGAGACATGCGGTTCTTTATACAGGTCAGTGCTTAAAGCAACAGGCACTTTATGTTCTAAAATTAAAGACCTGAACTCCAATTTTGCTGAATACAACATAAATTTGTATTTGGGTTATTTAAAAACAAACATACAAACACTACTTGTTCTCTCTGAGGCCTCTTCCCTCTCCAAGGGACTTCTGAGATGACCCCCCAGAGCCTAGCGCCATGCACTAATGTACCTTCACTTCCGGCCGGTGGGGTTGGAAGGTGGGTGTCAGGCATAGACACTCTCGCTGGGTTGGGGGCGGCTGTTTCTCTTTGCACTTGACAGTATGGGGGCTCCCAGACCTCAGCAAGCACTCTACTCTATACCCCAGTCCCCAAGTCCCCCACTACAAGGAAGACAAACTCAGTGTAAGGATTTTCATTAGCTTCTGAATTTCATATACTAGTTAGACGTACTGCTTCATGAATAAGCATGCTTAGCATTTACTCTAGAATGGAAACATTAACCATTTTATGAGGTTACCTTTAAAATGTTTTCTAGGAATATATTAATAAATATTTCTTTAAAATGTTGCCTCTTCTATGTATCATTAGCTACCATGAGGCAGGGAATCTGGGTGGAGTCTGGTACCGACTGAATGCCACTGGGCTGTGTGGCTGCAGACGGGTTTTTCCCTTCTCCAGTCTGAGGCTTCCCCTCTAACAAATGGGAACATTAGATCAGATCCAAGATTTATTCCAGCTTGAAAATATATGGGCCTTATTATAGAGTGTTCTCATGGGAACTGTTCCACCTAAAGGGAGAACGATGTTACTGAGAAGCAGGATAAAAAGCAGTTAAAAAAAAAAAGAAAAAACAAGGACGCATCACGGTCTCGCTCTCGTTAACGTGATACATGCATCGGGACTTCGCCCTTTCCCGGGAGGCTTTGGAGGAGCAGGA